AACAATGTAACTAAACTATTAAAATGTCAATGTATTGAAAAATTCTTAATTCTTTACAATTTTAATAAACATTTTGTTATACTACAAGTACCAATCTCTAAGAATTAAATTAGTAATTCCTACTGTTCCTACTTGCAATTTTATCATGTTAATTTACAATATTTTCTTAAAAATAATTTTCATTTATAAATAAATATACGATTGGTCTTTATGATTATAACTAAGACAAATTATACACAACAATTATAGAGAACAATGTTTTGAACAGAAATAAAATAATAAATAAATATTAGATATATGTAGAAAACTCATAATATTAAACTAAATATTATTATTTATATATTTTACTATTTTACCATTGTACATTTCACTTTCTTTTTGATATTATACTAAGGGCATAGGTTCCTGTTTGAATACTTTTTACATAAACTATATAGCCAATAATTGGGTAAATATTGATTATTCATTTTATGTTTAAGTTTCATTATCAAAAAGGTTGGAAGTGGTTAACACTCTGCTGTACATTAAGTTTCTAATGAATCAAAGCAATAAATGCATTTAATTTGAATTCTGTAATGACTATATAAGACCATTGTATACAAAAAAATTTATTTAAAAAATGATTCTGAGCAAAAACGGTTTGTCAGCCCTTTATTACTAAGTATATTTTAGTATTTTAGCTATTTAAGTAATTTGCTTTACCATTAGTCATCAGTCGTAATACAGTAATTCTTGGTTGAATTAATTTTTTCAGAAAACATTGTAGGTACTCGAAAATATCATTTTTTGTACACAATATAATAATATTGTTCAAAAGTTTCAAGTAGGTACCCACCAATAATATTTTTAAATTACAAACAAATAAGTAAATTCGTTATTCTTGTTTAAAAATGTCAAACATATAATTTAGTCCGAATTCTAACTATTAGAATATCAATGAAAAATTATTTGTTTATTTTAGATTTTTTGGGTCCAATGTACCATACTTATGAGTTATGGTAACCTTGTATTCAATTTTCGTGCCTTAGTTATACAAGTTGAACGTTTAATAAATGTTTAACTACAAAATAATTTGCAAATATTCTTGAATTTTGTCAAAATTTAAATTCCAATGCTTATACAAAAATGTGCCAATTTTGAATTTACCTTTAATATTTTTTAAATACTTTTATAACAACTTACGAAATGATTAAAATTGTAGCTAATCAGTACAGCTTTAATTCAAGTTCCAACGCCATTTTAATTTCTAGGTTAGTTATTTGTATTATATCATAGTATAATATATTTATAATACATTCCAATTAATGAACCTACATTATTGAATTGGATATTACATTGGTTCGTAATAGTAATAGGTATAGATACCATACAGATATTAGATAAAAAATCATTTCAATATAACTCCAACGGTATAATCACCGAATTTTGTATAAAATGTAAATAATAAATCCTTAGAAAAATAGATTACATTAAATTTTTATAATAAACAAGATTATTAAATTTCAAAATTAATCTTTCAAATAAAAAACAATAGCAACTTTTTAAAAACGCATCAATACCATAACTCCATGTCTCCATTACTCCAAAATTCGTGAACTGTATTGTCATAACTTATTAAGTTATAACTATATAATGTCACGATAGACTCAGAAGTTTTGGGCACTAGAATGAGTATCATATTTTTCTATATGATTTAGAATTTAGATTTATAATATACCAAACTAAACATCCATTGTATATACAATGAAGTGTTTTAGAATCAACAATTTTAAATGCATATATTTTATATGTTTTATAGAAAACAAATTCATTGTTGAGTTATAAATACATATTTATTGTTTTCTAAAAAAAAATAATATGATACAATGATTTATAGTTCATAACTAAAATGTCAGTATAAACTTCACAATATTGAAAAATATTTTTATTATTTGTATCTAGATACCATCACCGATATTATTTTTTCAGTTCAATAATTGAACAATCACATGTGTTGTCTCCGTCTTACAAAAATATTACATACCAAATTTAAGCTCAGCAGATCTCGTTTAATTCCTTTAGTTTAAACATTTGAGTAAAACAACTTATTATAAAACTTGATGGTTAGAGCATTATCTGTGTTCCTATGTTGGATTTTACTATAGTTCAATTTTATGTGAGTTTTGAGCATTTTTAATTTACGCTAAATTTTAAATCAGCGGTTCCCAAACTTTTTTAGTCCACGCCACCCTAAAAATAAAAAAATTAAAATTGCTCCTCTCATAAATAAATAACTATAAAGAAATCCCTGGATCAAGTATATTATTGTATAACGTGACTTCAAGAAATAATGACATAATAAAATATTTTATAATAATAAACTAACCTTGAACGGTTTTTTACTGATAATACTGCCATAGATGTTATAGATGATTTCCTATGATCCAAATCCTGGAACAGCATCTTTTCAAACCTTAAGTAATTTTAACCGACTTCAATCTTAATTCTTAAAATAGAGAGTAAAATGAATGAGCCCAAATCCTATCACTTAACATTAACACTGCGGCCACCCCCGCGACTACTCTCTGGTTTAAATCAATAACGCACACATTTCAACTGAACAGTCCGAATAATATCTTTGGAAGCATCTAGATAGACGTATCACATGGGTAACTAACATTAAAATTAAATTAAATCATACAATTCATCAATTACGTCCCCTGTTAAAATTTTAAATATCGCTGCGAAAAAAAATATTAATATACTAATTACTCATTTTCTATTTAGTTTCTTTATGAGTCCAAATTTGAGCATCCACAAAATATAGTATAACAATTATACCATCTTTCCAGTTAATGTCCTCCATAACAATAACCATAATAATAATGGTAGTAATTTAACCCTCCGTAATGATCACTCCTAATGAAGGAAATTAATTCAATAAACGAGTCCGTAGAAAACTTCATAATTATTCAAATCATGTCATATACAATTTATCCTCTGTTGACCTATCTCATACAACCTGTCGAATGAAAAGAAAATGGTCTAGGGACCTTTTTTAATTTAATCATAATTTATACTCAATGTTATTAAAATAAAAAAAAACAATGCTTGAAGTATAATATCATCTATATTTATAGTGTACGTTTATAGTAAACGAATATTTTGATCATGTGAACCCAATGTAATTTGTTTTCTCCTCTGTTCAAATTTACTTATTGTACTTGGTACTTAATATTAATTGTAAATAAATATAATTTAATAATAGAAAAAAAAATTTTGTAGTTAAAAACCTTAATTTTATTATTGTTGAGATATACTGAAAGGTAAAAAAAAATCTATTAAGGGTTACTGAAGCCGATAATGTTGTGTATTATTTAATGTTTGTTGCCTTACAAAATTAATGGCATTATCCAAGTCACTGAACTGAAATAAACTGCTTAGGTAATCTATTTCAAACTTGCCATCGGTATAAAAGATGAATATTTGTTAACATTTATTATTTGTTGGCTCATTATTGTATTTATGACACAAAAAAGATATAATATCTCTATACAAGAAAAATGACTACTATTTATATCTAAATAATACGAAAGTCAAGACTTATATAGAGATATATTAAAAATGTCCACATGAATTTATTCAATTTATGCAAAAGCATAATTATTTTTTAATCTAATATTATGTAAGTGAATGTTAATTTATATATAATATATTGGATAGAGTCAATACCAGAAACTTCCCAATAAAAACAATGCGAAATAATAGATTTTTGATGAAATACCAAGATAGATCTATTTAATAAATAATACTCATGACGATATTTGTACCAATATTTTATTTTTACATAATATACCTACATACTGGTTATTACTGTTATATTGTTTAAAAGTACACTTCGGTAGCTTGAAGTCTCCGTTTGGATACTCTTTTACTGAAAACATAAACAAGTAAAAAACTTATCCTAATTTATTATTACGACTTTGCGAATTGCGAATTTAAGGCCATTGTATGGTTAAATAGCATTGTTCTAAGTGCTTTTTTAAAAGTTCGTGGTGGTACAATAATTAATAGGTAATGTAAAACTTTTATTTTACAAAAGGGTTCTTAACTTCTAAGAAGATTAAATAATATATTGATGTTTTCACGTCTGCTCGTTGCGACCGAAAGCATATTATATAATATGTATTTGTCTTTAACTTTCAATAATGTTCTTATTTTTTATTCATTGATATTAGCAAATTTGTTGTAGAAAAATCAGTTCGAAGCATCTTCAGGAAGGTCCCTTCACTTACTTACAACCATGAAAAACACTTCTTGAACATATTCAGTTTACAGATAATTTATCTAGTAGTCTACAGAAAGTTATAAATAATATTATCCTGTTTATTATCATTTAATTCTTTTAATTTTTAAATTTTACTTATAGGGACATCCATGAATTCATTATTCATTATTTTACAATGTAATTTGATAATGTTAACCTTTTTTTTAAGTATAAATAATGTATAATATGTAGTAGGCATGTAGATATATCCTATACTCTATAGAATATAGATTATTGTCTCATCTAAATAAAATTATTAAAGAGAATAAATTACGGGAATGAATAATTTTAATTTAATTTAAGGATCACAGAAAAAAATAAGTACAGGTGTTGTGTAATTGTTATGGTGTTGGATTAGAATATTATTCTATTATTGTATAATACTTTATTTACAACCCCAAAAACGTATAACATGTATACAACCATCTTGCTCTGATGTTCATTACTGATTATCATTATACAAATATTATACAGCTAAATCGTCTTATTGAATTTCATTGAATTTATTTTATTTTCAAAATGTAGTATGAGATATAACTGTATAAGTATATATATTTACTACTATATTATAGTATCAAATTACAAGTATGTTGCACAATATGTATAAAATTATATTATATTAAAAACATTGACAAAAAAAAAAAAAATACAAATAATTGTAATTCTCAATAATTTTGTTCATTTCAGCCCACGCGTAAATACAATATGATATTCACAATAGTGCAGTAACACAATATGTTTAATAATATACATCGATGCCATCTACATCCGGTTACAGATATATTCAATACAATATTTACCAAAATATAATATACCCTTGACGAATATCCAAACAAAATAAAATCATCGAAACCTAATAGTTCTTACTCAAAATACCCGCACACTGCATAACACTAAGATAATTACTATGGACAATTTAATTTTACAACTGATAAGTTCAACGACTTTTCCCTGGGTTAGAAAAAATACAAAAATTATTTAATATTTAAACTTCTTCCTCACTAAATATTTTTTTTGCAATTCGTTTGTATTTTTAGTCGTTGTTAAATATTTGATATTCATCGTCATTTTATACCGATGTTTCAAAAAAAGGGTATATGTACACACGCTGCGGTATTATTGCATATTATGATGTGTTCATGCCATTCCCATTTTATGGGGGTCTTGAACCGTAAATAATGATTTTAACACTATAATTTTCCTCATTGAAAACACCAACTATCGCCACGCGTACTAGCTAAGATTATTGAATCGGGAATCTAACGAACAGTGTCCTAATGTGTAAAGTATAGTGTAGGCATGTGAAGATAGAAAAAACAATTTAAAATTGATTTTCATCCAAAAACTATGTGTGTGGGGAGGGGGAGATGATAGTATATCCGAAATAGTATAACCAATGACACTACTTGGCGTTAGCCGCCCTGAGCGCATTGACGCCCGAATAGGAGACTTTGAGTACGGACAGGAAGAGTGGCAGGTTGGCTATAAACACCTTGCCGACAGTCAGCTGTAACGGGGTCTGCGTCCTGGACATGACCATCATCAGTGACTGGCGGAAGCGCACGGGCTGTGCGTACCACTGTGCCGAGTACGAAGCCCTGAGCAGGCCCATGTGAGCGTCTTCTACCATGCTGCCGTACATGCAGAATATGAACAGTTCGGCTAAGTAGTTGGAGAGCGTCAGCAGACCTTTGACCATGACGAACCGGTTGCCCACGAATATCATGTTGAACGCCGACAGGCAGAAGTAGAGAGTGCTGAACATGAGCTCCAGCAGGATAATGTAACCGTAGCTCTCGTTCAGTTGGTCCTTGAAGTGAATCAGCCGGTCGTGAAGCATCGTGCAGCTCTTCACGTGCTCCAACAGCTTCTGCTCGGTGGTCTTGTCCACAGACTGGTCGAACTCGACGATCTCGACGGCGTGCTCGATGTAGGCGGATAGTATCTGGAACTCAGATATCATTTGATTGACGAAGAACGAAAACGAACACATGATGCCGGTTATGATGAACTTTACGGTCACAACGATTAAGAACTGTATCACATAAGAAAGCGCATACATCCCGACCTGCAAATACGTAATAATAATGAATGGTACATGAAAAATCGATTATACTATTGGAATAGGTATTTTATAGAAATATTGCACCCTCATCAGTCAGCTGTTATGACCGTAGTCACTAGTCCGAGAATTTAACTGCTATTAAATTTAATTACCATTAAAAATAAAAGAACAATGATGAAATATGTGTACTTTTTATTTTGCAAAATTATATACTATCTGATATGTATTAAAAATATATATTTTCAATTATACTGTTTAAAATAAATTCTCAACAGCTGCAGCAAAAACAAAGAACTTCTAACCTTATTTAAGAATAGTTTTAAATAGTTGAGAAAAACTATAAAATCATTTGTGAGGGCTTTGAACTCCCATTTTATTTCAAAAATGTATTACTTTAGAAGATTAATTTAAATAAAAACAATTGTCTTGTTTGAAACAAAATTGTATAAAACCGTATTAAAAGAAAATTGTATCGTGTATAGAATATGATGAATTAAGCAATAGTGGAATGTTTCAAATTTATACGGTTAATATTTTATGAAATACAACAATGGATAAATATAATCAATTAGACAATTACATCAAAATTTGATTTTCAAAAGCTCATAAAAAATAAATGTGTCTTACAATAAACATTTTTAATTGCTGTAGGTTAAATTTATAATAATCTTGCAGTGCACCAATTTTCTATCATTTTGATTTAGAAAAAAATTGAATCAACATGAATCTAAAAATACTAATAAAAGTATTAAATTTTAAGTATTTATAAATATCTCAAAAAGACGAAAATATTTTAATTTCCAGAAAATTACATTACATATGTTTGGTGAAAATATCAGGTCCATACGGTTTTTACTTTATGAATTATTGTTTACTGGTTTATTTTTCCTGCCCCAAAATCAGTAATTAAGTCCAAATGTCCAATATCCTACCGAAAATAATTCTAAAAGTTGGAAATTGAAGCATTTTTACTTTTCTAAAAAACGATGACAGATACAAATTTAATAATAAAAAAACAAGTATATATTTGTAAATTCATGGTTGGAGACGAAGGAAAATATTGTAATTTACAATTGAAATTATATTGAAATTGCATTAACGATTTAGGATTATGCACGAAAAAATATTTATTGTTCTTTATTTACCAAGAATTAATGCTACTGTGAATAATATAAAAATATTATACCCAAGTACCGGGTACCCAACAAAAAGCATTTGTATCATACCTACCTGGAAAATGTTAAAAGTTTTGTCTTTGTTTACCCAAATCCCTATAACAATGCAATTATATATGTATATTGTATATACGTAAAAGCTTATTTACTGTTTTATATTTTAGGTTTGATCTCAAGTTTGGTATGAAATTTAAAAATGTTGAAGTTTTGGTACAATAGATATTTTAAATGACCTCATAAATATATTATGAATAATGCTAGGTGCATTTATGTTTTAATAAGATATACCAGTCAAGAAAAATAATGAATTAATTACAATTTCTTGAAAACTGATAAATATATTCCGTTGGATTTTAACACAAAATGAAAAAATAATTATTATGTAAAATTTGACAATTATAATATAAAAGCATAACAAACTAGAGAACTGTTTTTGGAACAATGTACTTATTTCTAATCAAATAGGTAGCTAAATACATTTTTAAACATTATAATATGCACATGTCATGAACTCATAAATCATAAAATTCAGACTTCAGATACTATGTAAACTGATTAGATGTCAAGCATAGAAAAACCTAAGTAATTAGTTGATAAAACAAAATGCAATTTAATTAACTTTAGGGATCTTGATACAAATACCTACAAATGTATTATATTTATCTATACACATCAATATATAATTGGTTTATCTTCATCGAAATAAAAATGATTTATTTTAACCTAAATAAAATGTTATTTAACATAGATATATAGGTAATAATAAATTATAAGTGTAGCACGGTGTGAAGCGGTGCCTACACTCAGTTGTGTATTCGCTCTGAGTGTACATACTGACCGGGGTTGCTAGCTCCCAGATGGGTAACCACCCATGATTTTTAGCAACAAAATCCTTGCCACGTGTACAATAAGTGTTCCAAACCAACCGTGCCCCAAACCGCTAATGGCCATAGTTACCGGGCTTTAGTTCAACTTAAAAAGAAAAATTATAAGTATGTCTCATTCATACCATGACATAACTTACTAATTTAGTTATGTCATGATTCATACGAAACGATAAACAATAAACACAAATACTGTCCATGAAATCAATAACAATTTTTTTATTGTATAGATTTACCTGACTAGTGTCGGCCGGAAACCACAGGACCACCATTTGTGTGCTCTGTGAACCCAACTTGACTTCGGTAAGAGTGGCAGCTGCTAGTGGCACCATCCCCGTGGCTGGTATCTCGAACAAGACCAGTGTTAGATACGAGACGATTACTTTCATCGTGAAGTCTCCGTAAGACGTGCGTATGTCCGTTATCTTCCGCTTGAGTGCATCCGGCATGGGCCTATTGTAGCTAGGGAATTCGTCTTCGACCATCAGCAGCATGGTCCGGTTGAAACGTTTCGTCCGGATGGCCAACGTGATGATGGCCAACATGAACACGCATATCACGAAGTACGTAAACGACTCGAGCGCTTTTTTGTTGTCCGCGATCAACACCGAAGTCATGGTCATCCCCGACGTGATCATGATTGTCGAAAACTGAACGGACCTGAGCACCGTTTCGGTTCTAGACAGACGGTCCGAGGACGAGTCGAAAAGCACGCTCCATCTGATGCAAAACTTTTGGAATGGCGTCAGAATGAAACGCTCGGACTTCTGCATCACGTCTATCACGCTAACAAACGGCCGGCTAGATGACATACAATAAAGAAAATGATGATATACAGCTTTATAGGCACCTTTACCCTTGATGTTATATTGTTTTTTTTTGTTCAAAGACTTTGGAGCAATAGGTACAATTATTCAAAAAAGGAAAAATTGATAATACAAATAATAATAAAATACATTTTTCAATAAATTCAGTCAACATTTTCTTATTATAGTGTATATATATATTTGCTCATTTTTTTTATGTGTCTTTGTTTGTGTTTAAAGCTTTCAAGTCACCTTGATGCTGTGAAAAAGGATGATCTTTCAAAATCTGTTTGATTTTATATGTATCATTTGGCATTATGTTGAATGCGGAGTTTAATCATACAAGTTTATACAAGTTTTTGAAATCAATGTTGTAATTTTGCAGTGTTTAAAAATGGTATATCTCATATTAAGTTGATTCAAACAAAATATAAAAGTATTTATGTTAATATGTTATTATTTTTAGGTATCTACATTAGTTAAAAAATATAGGTACCTAACCTATTTATATACATTTAAAATTATTGTATGCTGGATAAAGTAGTTTATGCAGCAATTTGGTATAATTAGCTATTGCCTATTTATCTACTGTATGATTTATAATTTTCTATTGTAAATAATAAATATTGTATACAATCATTGAGTAGATAAAAACAGTTCCAATAATAGCATTGATCATAAATAGGACTAGGAAGTTGTAGGAATTTCACATTGCTCTGTATGCTCTCAGTTTATAGCAGACCTAACTAGAAATCTGAAGTATACAATTGTGAGTTCAAAAATTGAAAATTAAAAATGCATACTTGCTTATTTTGCCAATTTTAGCTAAAAAAGTGCACATTTCTTTTCTTTTATACGCATATTATACATATTTCATATTTTTATAAAAAAATTGATTTTTTTCTTTCTTAACCTGTACATTTGAATTTATATTAAATATAAAACTCAAAATTATCATCAATGGTGTAATATTGTCATCCCCATAAACAATTACAAAGTTAATAACGCATTTAGTACCTAGCATGCCGAAATACTTATTTGGAGTATCTTATCGTAAATATAAATTTATTGTTTCTTCGTTTATCGTTACTGTCGATGATTGTACCCGATTGAAGTTTGGCAGTTTTATATAGATATAATATGTCTTCCGGTTATAAATAGTTTTTATGTATATTATTATTAATTTATTAGCAACATCTGGTGTATTTTATTTTTGGAATTTAGAATAATTTTTTCGCATATTCACTAAATTTTTTTTGTATATTTAATATTTTTAATGCATATTTTGCAATTTTTTCGTGCATATTTTGCCATTTTTAGCTCCTACAACTTCCGAGCCCTAATTATAAATAATGCAATATACTATAAACATAATATTATAGGTAGGTGTATTATTTAATGTATTTTTTTTTTGTACTATCAAAACGATCATGTGATTTTACCTATGTAACATAAAATTAAATTGAGATACCAAACACACGTTTTTTACTACAATAAATTGTTCGTTAAATAGTTTTCAGATAATTAAGGATATCAACTATGCATCGGCGTATAACAGAAGCACAAACGTACATTATTATAATTATTATTATTTATTGATGGTATTTTACAAAATAAATACAACATTTAAATGTAAAAAGCTTCTTTAATTATTGGCCCATAGTTATGAATATCGAATGATACGTTAAAATGCATTAAAAAATAAATCCTATATGAACCATATTTCAAAAATATAAGTTCCGATTTGAATTTTAAAAGTTACCTCAAAATTTCCCCTTTTTAATAAAATTAATAAAAAAAAATAATTGATATCAAATTAGTTTAGATTATATGACTCAAAGAGGTTTTCACATGAGTATTTTTTTCTTAATTTAAATATACCATGCTATTATCAAAAATGTTTCCTACTGAATTCAATTCGACTAACACTGATGCAATTGATTCATAATAATATGTAATATTTTATAAAAAAAAATACTTTTGAGATGTATTTCAAATAGGCAAGATTACCTTTCAAAAATAATTTTTCTTACATACTGGCCCACGACATTTCTTCAACACCAGAATATGTAGAGAAAGGTTTTTTTCCCAGTTTATGAATATATTTTTTTAAATTGAGTTGAGACATAGTATCAAATATCAATAGACATTCCCCAAAGGATTTAGCATATACACATATATATTTGATTCGACCATCAGTTGCATAGGTCGTATGTTTTTTATGTATGCTTAGTTTCGATTGCCTTTCTACTATAAAAATCTTAAGATTTTAAACCTAGCTCTAGTATATTATCTTACTTAGTTTCAAATGTAAAAATGAGGTGTAGTTTCAAAACCAAGTACATTCCAATACTGTTTTTAAAAACTCTATTCTGAAGCACAAAAATTGTATTTAAATACTTACTTTACAAGTATGTAAATAGTACCCACCTTTTACGAATCGCACTGCCGACGAAACGATTGTAGATATAGTTATTTGACCATGTACACGTATGTCTGAACACCTATTGAGTTCCGGGACATCGTGAGTTACCTATATAATATCATACATATTTTCTGTTTGTAATAATATTAAATAATCATAAGTCCATGTTATACTATATCGACTATAATAGTCGTTCATAAATATTCCTCGTGTAGATATTATAATATATAATACCCGAAAATATTATTTGTCTTAGCTGTTTGTCTTTTAACGTTTGTATTGTATTACACACATATCTTGTAAATTATTACGTAGAAAATCGTTTGGGTCGAATATTTGATGTGTCTCAACTCAAACTGTATTCTTACACTTACTATAAATAATAAGACCCATATAAACATGCGACACGATCTGTGTCAATGCCTCAAGGACATAATATTATACGTAAATTATTAATTTGAACAAATACAAATTATCGAAAACTTTTTTTCACCACCGGCAAAATGTTTACTTTCCAAGTTTTGTGTACCGAAAACAAATTTAATAATCATATGAGTAAGTACAATGAAAGCATTAAATTTCATCTCGAATAACTCAGGTGGTTTTTATTCATGATATTATTACGTTTTATTGCCGTTATGCAATGTTTATTACATAAATATAAGTAAATAGATACAACTAAAATATTTCATACCAATCATTTTTGTGAATTTATTTTCCATAATTTTCAATTTAAATATTATAATCCTTAATTTAACAATCAAATAAATCTAAGATAATTACATTTAATGGTATTTAGCTAACTAACAGTAGATACACATATCATATATTATATCGTATTAGTATCTGCATAATTATTGTAAAACCTACATATTCGCATTTCCTAGTTTATAACTACTGAACAATATATAAATGGGAGTCTACATAAAATACATCATCACTGTACCAAACACGTTATCATAATACTAACTCTTTGTAATATTGTAAGTCATTTTCAAGTTTACTTACACTATTTGAATTTTAACTGTATTTAACAATAAAATATATTGAAATTTACATTCAACTGTTTTGTATATGTATAATGATCATTGATCATAAAAAATAACACCAACATTATTTAAATTTGAACCATCTCGTGGAGATTAAATATAAATTACTTATTTAACATATTATATTAATTTATTTTACATTCAAACAAAAAAAAGAAAAAGAATCGTTTTTACAACTTCAATGATTTTGTAACAAAATATTAAAACACAAAAATCAATATCGTGTCAAGAACATTATACCTTTTACTCGTATTAAAATTAATCCAAAAAAGTATATGTAGGAGACTTTAAGTAGCATAACGCCATAACCTATATTTATACCAACTATATTATGAGAAAAATGTATAAATTATGTATATAATTAGTAGGTATTGTGTTTATATAAACTCAAAAGTCAAAGTTAATAAATATTATAGTATAATATGATTCATAATAATATAATAACTGTAAACATTATATACGACCAGACATTCACACAAAAAGTTTATTTATTTATTTTTCTTTCGACTTTTACGGGATAATAATATGATATCTATGATCAAAAGTTTTTGAATCGTAGTCAATTCACAGATTGTACTGTATTATCATGTACATGCATATAAATACAAACTGGACTTTTGAAAAGAATAATTACAACTCATGTGTCTTGTCACTATTTCGTCTTTAAGTATTCTTGTCGTTAACATCATTGTCGTTGCACAACGTCGTAGTAACTGTGACGTTCTCGTTGGCCAGAATGTCTTCGTTCGTATTACCGTTCTGAGCAGATTTAAACAATACCGTTTTGTTGCCAATTGTCGATTTTCGATTCGCTTTTGATCGCACCGTCAGTTTGTGCCACGTGACCACTCTCACCGAAGCTACAGATTCCCCAACACCCTGTAAACGTAAATAATCACATAGACGTTTAACTTTTGCATTTAATATTATTTTTGTTTTATATTTTAAAGCTATTGAACGTAATTTGTGTTTTAAAATCATAAGCACACAATAAGGTAATAAATAATAATTTTTTTTCGGAGTTTGTCTTACTTAAATATTATAGTATCATTATTACTAGGGCAATGGAATATGGAGCAAAGTGCATAATATATTATCTGTATAAAACGTAAGTTAATTAAAGTTTAAATTATGTAGGTAACATTACCTTACTTTAAAAACGAACTCAATTATTCTCCCAATATGCGGTTTACTGGTGCCATAACTGGTATAAATATATATAATATAATGTATATAAATACTTCTAGATTTCCACATAAGACTACCTATCGTACTATTTAATATTTTAGACAATGTAGTACATTTTATTTTTATCTCTCCGAGTATAATACACATGGTATCTTCGTATTTCTTAGTCATAATATTATAACAACAATGTTATTATAGTTGAAAACAGTTATGTTGGTTTAGTGTCGTTTGTAGTATATACTTATTAATTATCATAGCGAGTTACTCCAACTGGTATAGTAGTCAACATTTCAAAATACTTGTAAAATAGTTGTACAGCTAATTTTTAAATGTAGGATCCATTATTAAATACTTGCAAGTATATACAGTCTACTT